GAGCTGTATTACGATCTCTCTTTGCAATTTCCCATTTTTGTTTTATTCTGTGCGCCTCCTGAAAATCACGCTCACTGATTATTGAGGAAATTAAAATTATTACTGTTATGCGAGGCAAAATTTGATTAGATGCTCACTAAAGCCTGTTTGCTTAAATTTTGTCAAAATAAAATAAAAGGCATCTGTGGTGTACACTGCTCCCAAATATACACGTCATTGTATTGTATTAATAAACAATGTCAGCTGTATAATGTGTTGGATCCGGACTAAATGTGTGTTGTTTCACAGCAGTAACAGAATGAAAAAGCCTTTTCCGGAGCAAGAATTGATTTTCTCTAAAACCAATGAGGCAACAATTGACTTAGTTTTTGAGATATGGATGTATAAAAAGTTACTAAGCGATTATTTTCCATCAACAAATCGAACCCTTCCGGAAACTCAATTTTATACCTTAATGATATACTCAAAAACCTCAAACTGAGGCTTTGAAATAGTCACACTGTTAGCAGGCAGAAACAAGAACCTGTGGTGGGCCAATCGATAGAAACTTCATTACCAGGAAGCCAGGCTAGTAATCTCCTTGGCTGCAGCTGTGAGGGACATACATTCTACCACAGCACCTGTTCTCAATGATATATCCAGTCTGCACCTGCACAGGCACAAAGGCACACTCACACTACTCTGCGGTTTAACACTCCCTCACTATCTTACCATCTCTTTTCTCTGTCTGTCTCAAATACGAGCTCACAAGGATTTTGTGTTATTTCATACTCTTGCCTTGCTTCTCTCTCCCAGCCTTAGATGAGCTTTCTTACATTTGTGCCAGGATGCATCTTTAGCAGCTGATAAGAGCAGAAAAGGGAGAAAAACTGATGGGTGAAAACAGAAGAAGAGAGAAGCAGCAGGGGAGATGTGAGGAGGGGGTGGAGAGCAGTTGAAGTTTTTTTCTTTCTTTCTTTTTCAGTTAATACAAATAGACCTTTGGGGTTCAGAAATTGTGTAGTATAATATCATGTTAGGACAGCTCCATTTTACACCAAAATTGGTTCTATAATGGCAAGCCACAGAGACATTTTAAAGTATTTTTCCTTTCTAGCTTTCCCTCTTTGAGAAAATTGGGTCTCCACAGGAAAAATGACAAATCATCGAGTTATCAGGGATAAGTACTTTTGCAAGTTTTTAGCCTTGGACCCGATTCTCACACTTGTAGCGATCTAATTCAGCTATAAAACCAAGGCAGGTAATATCGCCTCTTGGCCAGGACTCCCTTGAAAAAGAGGTTTTTAATCTCAATGGGACTTTTCCTGGTTAAATAAAGGTTCAAAAAAAAAAATAACAAAAAAAAATAACAAAACTAAAGATTAGGTCCAAGATGGTATTTGGGACCCAACTAGAAACAAGCAACCAAAGTAGTCCTATATATCTGGACTGTTAACATGTAGCCGAAACACACCTTTTTTTCCTTCTTTTATGTTAATTCAACCAGTAGATGGCACTGACAGAGCAATAACAACTACTGCTTACTTTATAATAACTCTCTTCTACCTTACTTAAATAAAATAAAAAATTGTATTCCCATAATGTTAAAGAAAATAGTTCTCCTGCTCATTACTAGGAGCAGAACTAATCACTATCTGTTATCTCCTCCTTGGAGATGAGTAGTAATGCTGTGGGCAATACTGGAGACTGTCCTCTTGAGACAGAGGGATGCACTAAGAGCACACGGCTGCATAATGTTGTTTCCAAACAGAAATATACAAACAAGATAGGTTTTTTATTGGCATTTAGGCCTACCCTTCTATCATGGTGCTAAAGGTTTATACTGAGACTTTGTCAAGATATATCTATATGCTAACAGCTCCCATTATGCATCCCGGTACTGCAAAGTAAAGTAACTGTAGGGGCTTTCTACTGTGGCTCCCACTCAACTATGACTGACATAATATATGTGAACTAAATGGATTTCTGCCCAAATGAATAAATTTACCCACATTTCATTGTGTGCTACTCCATTAAACTGAAATCTGTGCTTAATCTGCAACAATTATCGGCTTGTGATAAACACAGCAAAAGCAAGTTTGATTAATTCAGTGGTAGAAAACAAGTATTTCCGACTGCAGTGTATTGATTTGCCAAGAAGCAGTTCTACAAAAAAATAAAAAGCTGTGGTACATATGTCTGGAAATGAGTAATCATATACAATAGGGTTTTTTCAAGCTATATGCAGTAACTACATGTTGTTTCTTTTGATTTCACATTAATTACAATATGTGTGTGTGTGTGTGTGTGTGTGTGTGTGTGTGTGTGTGTGTGTGTGTGTGTGTGTGTGTGTGTGTGTGTGTTGCCAGAGTTTCTCTAGCTTGTACAATGGATTTGAGGTACTGTGTCCTTGTCCTTGTTGTTAAATCAAACCAATTACACTGTAATTGGTTGTTTTGGCCAGATTGTTGTTTTCAGTATGAGCTTATATAGATGTTGCTTTGCATAAGGTGATTTTTGTGATAGGTTGCAAGTAAGTTTTGTTGTAATGATTTTTCTGTGTAGACCTCAGTTGTAAAACATAAATGCAATCCTTTGTGTAGTTGTGTGTACTTTCACTTTCCTTTTCTAACAAGCAGGTATAGTTTTATCTCAAAGCTTTCTTGAAATTCCAAATCTCTTCTTGACGTTTAATAGGTCCTCTTAGCACTAGTTCCTTAGAGCCATGTCAGTAGCTTTAGTCTTTTCATGTGTAGCCTTTATATGATTTATAGCTGCTACAGTGCACCAACACTTGTAGGTAGGTAGGTAGGTAGGTAGGTAGGTAGGTAGGTAGATAGATAGATAGATAGATAGATAGATAGATAGATAGATAGATAGATAGATAGATAGATAGATAGATAGATAGATAGATAGATAG